GGCTCAGGGGGATAAAATCACCCAGGAGAGCCCCCCTTGACTCCCGAAACCCATCCCCAGCCTCGCCAGGCTCGGGCTCCTATGGAGGAGGGGGGAGGGCAGAGCCTGACAGCGTCCCCCTCCCCAATTTCCCCCCACAGCAGTCTATGGGGACGAGGGGCTGGGCTTTTGAGGGGATGTGACCCGAAATCTCCCACGGGGACCACAGGCAGTTCCGTGTGCCGACCTGTCCAAAGGGTGAAACCCAAATRTCCCCAGCCCCAGGGACAACAGCGGTGTCAGAGGTGCTAGTGGGACCTGAGTGAGGCCCTACACATCTGAGGGGTCCATAAATCTGGGAGAATCACATGTTGGAGGGTCACAAATCTGGGGGGGGTCACACATCTGGGGGGTCACACGTCTGGAGCTCCACATCTGGGGGTGCCGCACATCTGGAGGGGTCACAAATCTGAGAGAGTCACAAATCTGGGGGGGTCAAAAATCTGAGGGATCACACATTGGGGGGTCATAATTCAGTGGGGTTCACACATCTGGGGGGGTCACACATCTGAGGGTCACACCCCTGGGGGTCACACCCTTGGGGGGTTACACTTCTGTGGGGGTCACACATCTGGGGAGGTCACACATCTGAGGGTCACACCCCTGGGGGGTTACACTTCTGTGGGGGTCACACATCTGGGGGTAGTGGCTGCACATCTGGGGGGATCAAACATCTGGGGGGTCACACATCTGGGGACATAACACATGTGGGGAGGGTCATACATCTGGGGGGGGTCACACATCTGGGGCTGGCTCCGCGTATGCGGGGTCACACATCTGGGGGGAGTCACACTTCTGGGGACATCACACATCAGAGGGTCACGCATCTGGGGGTGGTGGCTGCACATCTGAGGGGGCTGCACATCTGGGGGGTCACACATCTGGGGCTCCACACAAGCGGGGTCGCGCATTTTGGGGGGGTTGCACACCGGGGGACGGGGGCGACACGGGAACGTGCTTCCCCCTTGTGGCCGCAGTGGGGACTGCACCCTGCCCCTCCCCGAATGGGGAAACTGAGGCACGACCCCAATTCCGGCATCGCCTCCCTTCTCCCTTGTGGGGATTTCACAGCTCCCCAAAACCTGGTCCCCCCGGTTCTGCTCGCGCGTGTGTGCTGACGGTTCCCGAACACTCCCAAAGGGTGTCYCCTACTTCGGGTGACCCTTGGGGGCTGCAGGATGCCGGGGTGGGGTCAGTTTGGTCAAAAAACCTGGGGAAAATATAGGAGAGAGAAGGTGAGCGGGATGTGACAGCCGGCGGGACTGGGGACACAGGTGGGACCCTCAGGGACACAGGGGACACAGCTCAGCTGACCATCACCCCCCACTTTGCACCGGAGATGCCAAAAGGCTCAAAATGAGCCCAAACCCCACAACTCTGTGCTGGGAGAGGGGGTTCAGAGGGTCACCCCGATCCCACGGACACGACCCGCGGCCACCCAGTGTCCCCCAGCCACGCTGACCCCGCGGCTCTGGGGTGATGACTCCCTGGGGACGATGACTCCCTGCATCCACCCTTCAYCCAAACCCCGGACCCCGCTCCTTCCTCGGCACGAACCAGCCCGGGGGGATTTTTCCGGTTGTGGGGCGAGCCSGGGGTGAGCCCGTGAGCAAGGGCACAGAGTCCTGCGGGTGACAGGGCTGGGTGCTGYCAGGCGGGACGTCACCGGCACCCAGCCCCGGGGTGGGGGACCTTGGGGTGAGGTCACCGTGGGCTGCGGTCCCCTTGGGTGTCCGGGGCCAGCCCGCCCTGCCGCGGGTGGGGGGCCCAGGGTGACTGGAGGGGTGGTGGCTGTGCCAGACGGTTGTGTCCCCCCCGTCCCTCCCCCGCCTTAACGAGAGGGCAAAGAGCAGCTGGGTGCGGTGCCGACGACAAGCCCTGTCCCCTGTCACCCGTGTCACCCTCCGCAGTCACAGCCCGAGCGACGGAGCCAGCAGTCGGGGTAAGCGGTCACAGGGACCCCAGCCAGGGACACGGAGGTTTGTCTTGGCCTCTAGGTGACCCCGTCGGGGCTGGGATGGAGCGGGGTGACTGGGGATGGAGGGCCGGGGGAGGCGACGGCACCCTCCGGGGCGGGGGGAGGRGTGGCATGTCCCTCAGGTGCTTGGGGACACATTGGGGGTGACACAGGGGTGACCGTGCCCAGGATCCCACAGCAGCATCGAGACGCCCTGGATGCCCCCCGGCAGGATGGGAGAGCCCTTCGGCCGCTGGAGCAGCACCCCGTCCCGGTGAGAACCGGCAGGGCGGGGGGGTCCCCACCTCGGGACCCCCGAGGGCTGGCTGGGAGAGAGGTGCGGGGCTGTAAATGTCCCTCTGTCCATCCAGGGGTGAATACGACGACAGGACCCCGCTCCGACGTTCCAACAGCTTCGCCCGCCCCACCGGGAAGAGCATCTACAGTGAGTGAGGGCTGCACCCCAAAAACCCCCTCTAATCCCTCCTCCCTGTCGCCTCACGCTGCCTATCCCCTCAGACCAGCGCAAGGACTACGGGCAGACCCTGCTCAAGCTCCAGAGCGATTTCCAGCACCACGTTGAGGTAAAGCCCCCTCAAAYCGCCCCGCGCCCCCCCAGCCTCGCYAGGCTGTCCCTGTGACAGCGGGTGCCGTGTCCCCACCCCAGCACCTGCTCACGCTGCGCCTGGAGCGGGACCTCCGCAGCGCCGAGGATTGTCTGGGGCGCCTGAAGAGCCTGGAGGAGCAGGGACGGGTCTGGGGACAGGGTGTCGTCCTGCAAGTCAAGGACCAGGAGYTGGTGCTGAGCGATGTGGAGAGCAAGGTACCCCCCGGCCAGGGCGCCCCCAAAGCCTGGTACCCTCTGGATATGGGGCCCTTCGGCTGCGTGACCCCAAAAAGCCTGGTACCCCCTGGATCCCCCCGAACAAGGCAGCCTCACAGTCCAGCACTCCTCAGCCAGGGCACCCCTTGAATCTCGRGACCCGCCAGCCAGGGCATCCCCAAACCCCGCTACCCCCTGGCCAGGGCAACCCCAGTACCCCTCGACCAGAGCAGCCCCAAACCCCGGTAGCCCCTGGCCAGAGTATCCCCTGAATCCTGGGACCCCCTGACTATAGGAGACCCCAAACCCCGCTCCCCCCTGACCCAGGTATCCCCAAAACCCAGCTCCCCTGGACAGGGAACCTCGTGTTACCCCAACCCCAGCACCTCCTACAGCCCTGGCACCCCTCAATCTGGGCAACCCCCCAGTGTGGCACCCACGACCCTGCCCCACCGCCAGACCCAGCTCCCCCAAACTCTGCCATCCCTTCCTGTGCCACCCCACCACCCCCATTAAACATCCCGCACCCCACAAGCCTGACCCCACAATCCCGCTTGCACCCCTTTAACCCTTTCCTAGCCGTTCCGCTGGTGGGGGTGAGCACCCCGTTTTTCCCCGTTCCAGGAGGAGCTGGAGGCTTTCCCGCTGGGCAGCGTGCAGGGCTGCTCCGCCGGGCTGGACAACACCGTGCTGACCATCAGCGTCCAGGAGTGGAACCCGCCGGGGACCAGCGTCCTGCTGTTCCAGTGCGAGCAGCTGGGGGTGAGCCCTGATAGGGGATCGGGATGGGGGGCAGCCCTGAGGGGGAATCGGGATGGGGGGTGAGCCCTGAGTGGGGGCCGGAATGGGGGGCAGCCCCCCGGAATTGGGGGCTGATGGCAGGGGGTCCGTGCCAGGCAGAGACGCTGAAGAGCAGCCTGGAGAGGATGTTGAGGCAGCGGAAGGAAGAGCCGAGGAATCACTACGGGCACAGGTACGGGGGGGACAGGGCTCTGCGGCCCCTCCCTGGGGACAACTACGCTGGGCCCCTCCCCTCTCGCCCCCCAAAGTTGYGCTGGGTCTGGCGGGGGGGTGTCCCTGTGGTGCCACACTGCCCCAATGTCCCCAAAGYGTCCCTGCCTGTGGGCACAGACCTCTCCCGAGGGGGCAGGGGGGCTCTTCTGCCCCAGTACCCCCGCTCCTGGCTCAGTCCCCTCATCTCCCCCATCCCCATGGATACAAACCCCTCACACCATGCACGGGGTCAGCCTTCTTCCCACCCCGCTTCCCCATCCCCATGAGTCCTGACCCCCACCCCATCTACAGGCTCAGTTTCCCCCCTCCCATCCCTCTTCCTCATCCCCATGGGCACAGACCCCTCATCCCCCATCCATGAGCTCGGTCTCCCCTCATCCCCATGGGCACCGT